AGGGTGTTTTGAGAAGTAAATCTTGGAAAAGTCTTCATGCAGTAGGCTATCCAGACAAGGCTTCCTAGCCATTTTAGCATAGCTTGTGTTTTTGCATTCACAATGATATTTTCTCCCCTCTTCCCCCGTGCCCTCTTTCCACTGCTAGGCTATGAGGGCACTGCTGAAATCTGGAGATACTGAGAAAATTGTCTTCTTTGCGGGAGTTTCCAGACAGAGAGAGATTTATATCATGGCAGCCAACTATCTACAATCACTGGATTGGTGCAAGGACCCTGAGATTATGAAGAACATCATTAGCTTCTACACTAAAGGAAAGGCCCTTGACCTGTTGGCAGGTTTCTATGATGCATGTGCTCAGGTACATCCCCCTTCTATGACTGCTAAAGGTGTTTGGTTTGTTAGCTCTGGAGCAAGACATTCGTCTCATTTCTCCTCTTGCAGGTAGAAATTGATGAGTATCAGAACTATGAGAAAGCACAGGGAGCACTGACAGAAGCATATAAGTGCCTTTCAAAAGCAAAGACTAGAAGCCCTCTGGAACAGGAAAGCAAACTAGCACATTTGCAAAGCAAGATGACCCTGATTAAGCGATTCATCCATGCTCGGAGGTGAGCTGCAGTATTCAGAGCATGTGAACTATTGACAGAAATATCATACAAGAAGAAAAGTTGTACTAGTACCTACAGTTTAATAATTTGCAGACTTGCTTCTAAACGCTGCTGTTAGGTTTTTATAGCAGGGAAACCATTATGTGATTTTATTTTTTTTTGAAGTGCTGTTGACATTAAAGGTGAACAGGTAACCTGAAATATAAACAAGTGTATTGATCAAGGAAAGTGTAGCCAGAAAGGCAATTGTGAAACATAACACAGAAAAAAAAAAAAATCTTCCCTGTTCTTCACATGACAAGCTGAATGCTCTCCCCCAAGATTGTTAACAGTTTCCTTTTGCTCTTTTACTAGAGTTTACTCTGAAGATCCCAAAGAAGCAGTCAGACAGTGTGAACTTCTCCTAGCTGAACAAGATTTTGACAATGCCATTCGTCATGGCGATGTCTTGGGATTTCTGGTTGAACATTATGTACAAGTGGAGGAATTCCATATGGTAAGTTAATTCTTAATTCTTCCATCTACAGAGCCTGTATGTTATATACACCAGTGCAGCTTGGTATAGCATAGTTATCTCCTACAGGAAGACATTCCATAGTAGGGGCTCCTTTATAGGAGTGAAACTGCTCAGCAGGGTGTGGTAGACTTCAGGAACTATATCCATATTAATGTATTTTTCATTTCATAGGCCTGAAGAGAAAAAGAAAGCTCACAGGACATAGAGCATAAATAGTGGTGGATTCTTAAACATTCCCAGTTCTTAGATAAGAATAGAAGGGTCTGTCTAGGTGCATGTCTCAGCAATTACACTGTACTTAATTTTGCCACCTAGCCAAAGAAGAAAAGAAAATTGTAAAATTGCAGTCATTTGAGGAAATGGTGAATCAATTCTTCAGGGCAGAAGTGCCACACACACCAGCGTTTGAACTAAACTCTAATCTGATGCTATTGTGAAACATAAGGCTGCAGAGTGCTAGTTTCTCCAGCTGTGCTGATTAACTTTATTTTTAACATGTTGTTTTGACAGTGCTTCAGCTATCAGGAGAATGTAAAAACAGCCTTTGAGACCCCCCTTTTTTTTAACTGAAAAAGATAGAATTGACACAAGTCACTATGAAAGGTCATCAAGGCTGAGGTACTTAATGCCTTCTTTGCCTCAGTCTTTAATGGTAAGACCAGTTGTTCTTGGGGTACCCAGCCCCTGAGCTAGAAGACAGAGACAGGGAGTAGAATGAAGCACCCATAATCTAAGGGGAAATGGTTAGTGACCTGCTACACCATTTAGACACACAGAAGTCTATGGGACTGGGTGGGATCCACCCAAGGGTACTGAGGGAGCTGGCGGAAGTGCTCACCAAGCCACTTTCAATCCTTAATCAGCAGTCCCAGCTAACTGGGGAGGTCCCACTTGACTGGAGGTTAGCAAATGTGATGCCCATCTATAAGAAGGGCCAGAAAGAGTATCTGGGGAACTACAGGACTGTCAGCCTGACCTTTGTGCTGGGGAAGATTATGGAGCAGTTCATCTTGAGTACGCTCAACAGGCACGTACAGTAAAACCAGGGGATCAGGCCCAGTCAGCATGCGTTCATGAAAGGCAGGTCCTGCTTGGCTAACCTGATCTCCTTCTGTGACAAGGTGACCTGCTTAGTGGATGAAGGAAAGGCTGTGGGTGTTGTCTATCTAGACTTCAGCAAAGCCTTTGACACCATTTCCCACAGCACTCTCCTGGAGAAATTGGCTCCTCACGGCTTGGATGGGTACACACTTCACTGGGTAAAAAGCTGGCTGGATGGCCGAGCCCAGAGAGTTGTGGTGAATGGAGTTAAATCCAGTCAGCAGCCAGTCACAAGTGGTGTTCCCCAGGGCTCAGTATTGGGGCCAGTTCTGTTTAATGTCTTTATCAATGACCTGGATGAGGGGATCAAGTGCCCCCTCAGTAAGTTTGCAGATGACACCATGTTGGGCAGTAGTATTGATCTGCTTAAGAGTAGAAAGGCTCTACAGAGGGATCTGGACAGGCTGGACCAATGGGCCAAGGCCAATTGTATGAGGTTCAACAAGGCCAAGTGCCAGGTCCTGCACTTGGGTCACAAGAACCCCATGCAACCCTACAGGCTTGGGGAAGAGTGGCTGGAAAGCTGCCTGGCTGAAAAGGACCTGGAGGTGTTGGCTGACAGCCGGCTGAACATGAGCCAGCAGTGTGCCCAAATGGCCAAGAAGGACAACAGCATCCTGGCTTGTATCAGGAATAGTGTGGCCAGCAGGAGCAGGGAAGTGATTGTCCCCCTGTACTTGGTGCTGGTGAGGCCGCACCTGGAATACTGTGTCCAGTTTTGGGCCCCTCAGTACAAGAAGGACATTGAGGTGCTGCAGCATGTTCAGAGAACGGCAACAAAGCTGGTGAAGGGTCTGGAGCACAAGTCTTATGAGGAACAGCTGAGGGAACTGGGGTGGTTTAGCCTGGAGAAAAGGAGGATGAGGGGAGACCTTATTGCTCTCTACAACTACCTGAAAGGAGGCTGTAGTGAGGTGGGTGTTGGTCTCTTCTCCCAGGTAAGAAGTGCTAGGACAAGAGGAAATGGCCTCAAGTTGCGTCAGGGGAGGTTTAGATTGGATATTAGGAAAAATTTCTTCACGGAAAGGGTAGTGAAGCATTGGAACAGGCTGCCCAGGGAAGTGGTGGAGTCCCCATCCCTGAAGGTGTTTAAAAGACATGCAGACATGGCACTTAGGGATATGGTTTAGTGGTGGAGTTGGCAGTGCTAGGTTAATGGTTGGACTTGATGATCATAAGGGTCTTTTCCAAGCTGAGTAACTCTATGAGTCTATGTTAGCAAAAGCTACAACTTCTGGCTAAGTGTTAGCACCCTTCAACACTGAGCTCCTGTCAAGAGCTCAGCCATGCACTAAGGGTGGATGCTTTTCACCATTTTGCTGGGACTCATATAAGCAGTACACCCCCAATAACAGTGATCTCTGTGTATTACTTTAGGCTTACCGGTATCTGGAAGAGATGCAGAAAAGAATTCCACCCATGAACCTGACGTACTACATGACTCAGCAGACTATTGAGGCAGTTCACCGAGGAGTAGGCATTCATGTAAGCCGAACCCTGGTTCCACAGCAAATTTGCCACAACAGTATGGATAACAAAGAGGTGGAAGAAGCAGCTGATGAAGCAGAGGATGCTTGACAACTTACACTTACCAAATACCAAGTTGACTTTAATACTAGGTCATTTATTCTGTCCTCATTAGGGGTCATATATCAGTCAACACACTGCTGCAGCAGGGCTTTTCGGTTATAACCAATTTTTGGTTATTTTTCCTGCTTGACTGTACAAGCAACAGTATTGAAGTTAATGTATTATCTCAAACACTGCATACAAAGATTCACATGTAGGTCCTGTAATGAAGCTGGGTTTAGTATTTTAATAAATTTGAGGGGGGGAAAAAACCCAACAAGCACCACATATTGTAACTTCAGGCTTTTTTCTGAGTACCAAAAAGAGCTGAGTAACCGAGGTGAAAACTCCCGAGCTGACAAAATTTTCAAGTACAACTTTGATCTGCTAAGGTGCTAACTTATTTGTCGTTCCCCAGAAGTCACAACTTCTGGAAACAATCTCTGTCCGACTTGCATAAAAGTCAAACTACTCCCCTACTGCGGAATGAAGGGAGTCTTCCCCCAACCCAAAGCTTTTGTATTTAAACACATCATAGCTTCATGCAGGCTAGAGCTACCATTTACAAAAATCTGGACTAAACCTCAGAATCACAGAATGGTTGGGGTTGGAAGGGACCTCTGGAGGTCATCTGGTCCGATCTTCCCTGCTCAAGCTGAGTCACTTTGAGCCAGTGAAGCTTCTTTCCAAACGCCACAGTTATGTCAAGCTACTCTGTACTAGTCAGATTTTAGGATGCAAATTTCTTCCCTGGCACAAGTAGGACCATAAGAAGTGAAGCCCAACATAAGCAACTAAAATTTTGCTCACCTTAAGCCTGTTACCCTGCCCCACGAAGCTGTATTTATAAAGTCACTCTCATACACTTCATATCAATCAGCCCTTCTGCTTAGAGTGATTTTTCTTTTTACTCTTTTGTGACTTGCTTCAAAACTTCGGGTGAATATGAAGTTTTTAAATTGCATGCTTTCAGGGATGAAGGGTGGGGGGAAATTTTAAGGCCAAAATCTGGACATTAGTTATCCTTTAATAGAAACTTACTTCTGTACTAAGATTATACAAAAAGAATTCCTGCTTTGTTCCTTCCTAACCACAGCACAGCTCTAGCTCAAGCCTTTAAGGTTTGGCACATTTTTATTTTTAGCAGAGCACTCAAACCTGCCAAGGTTATAAATAGCTGGGGGTGGGGACTGGGGAGGTGTGGGGAGGATGGCAGCTCTAGCCTACCTTCCTGCATCTGTACACTCCGTACCGGATAGCAATAGCTCACTAAATTGGCCTCCACTACAAAGTCCAGATGTCAAGTCAGGTTCGCTGGCTGACAGCTCTGCACCCTTCCCCCCTTCTTCCTCTTCTCCAGCCAGGTGACTGCTGAAGAGGCCCCAGCAGTGCCTACACACATGCAGCTGGCAAGAGTATGAGATAAAGGTAATTTCTTTTACGCTTCAGCTACGAAGGGACAGTTTTGAGTTTCTTTTTCAGGTTCTCCATCAGTAGCAAGTTCTGCAAGGCCAGCCTCCTGCAGTCCCCATCTGGATCTTTCTCTACCACATCTGTAAAAGAAGCAGCCACTGTTAGTTGGAAAATGGGAAAAACTGCCCTTCACCTAATGCTACCATTTCACTGACCATCACAGAATGGCACTAAACACAACAGCAAATGCAACTAAGTCTGCGCTGGACATCAGCACTTGCAGGAATTATGTTAGACCAGAAGGCAAAGATGCTCAAACTCGATCATCTTAAGCAGTATGAGTTTAGCTGAGCCCTGACTGTCACATGTGATAATGCTCAGTTCATTCTTGTAGCAGAAACTATTTAGTCAGTTGGGTTGAAACACTATAGAAACTGTCTGACTTTGCATTCCATGGGATAACCTCCATGCCAGAATTTATACTTGTGCCCTTGATCTATACATAACCTTTCTACAGCTGATCTACTAGCATGAATGCAGTTTGCAATTAGAAATCCACTTACTCAGAAGACTGAAGTTTCCATTCTGCCAATTCCTGCAATCTAAACAAATGCTTCCTCCTGAAATCTCTGGTCATGCTGCCCTTCAAATGGGGGAAAGAGGCAGGCCCCAAGATTCAACACATTCTCTGTTCCGAGAGATTAGTCTTCTGATAAACCACTAGTTCTTTCACACTGTATGCAACATGTAAGGGAGGGCATGAAGCTGCTTCCAGCAGCTGTTATTTCAGGGCCCCTTAATGGGCCTGCAAAGTAAAAACCAGGATGCACGCAGGATGTCTGAGCAGGGGGAGCCTGGAAGAGCAGAGAGTCTGTGTAAGGATATCCTGTACGCACAAGCAGTGTGCTCAGAGCCTGGTACTGTCAGCCCAAACACATGACTCATTCAGATGGAGTAGGGCTATTTATAACCTTAGGGAGAGCTTCACGATGGTGTTTCCATACTCCCTCTGCAGAAGTCAAAAAAGGGGGAGGTTACATGACAGATTAGTACAAGCTCAAAAGCCAAGAGACTGATGTTGGCACTATTTCTGATTGCCATGACCATGCCTTGAACTGCTGCCACCAAAAGGGAGACACAGGGCACCAGGGTATCATTCAGGTCCTTACATAAAATGAACTTACCTATGACATAGCTCTACAGCACTTGCAAGGGGTGGGGAATTCCCTCAAAGGCAGCTGCTGAGCAATCAAAGGAACTGTTTCCTAGAAACATTTAGGTATTCCCTCCCTCCCCTGGGAAAGATTAGGCTACTCAATCCAGCATGGCATTAAGGGCAATGACAGACAAGTACAAGGTGGATCCTAGCCTCTCGCCCCAGCTGAAATGTCCCAAAGCATCCACTAAGTAGACAGTACTGTGACAGTGACTGAAGTCGCTTCTTACACCACACTGCAAACACTTTCTAACAGGGAACAGTTCTAGTTACAGCCCAAAGGCTGAAGGGCAGGAACAGTCAGTCATATTCACATGATGAGCTACAGCAATCTGCATAGGTTGTGATATAACAACAAACTGAAGCAGATTTGTAGATTTTTACTAAATGCTTCATGTATAACATTTTCTAGCCCACTGTTCCTCATTGTGCTTTAGCCATAGAAGAAGAAATGTAGATGCTTTAAGCTGGAACCCAAAGTGGCGACTTCTCCTGGCCATTAGGCATGGTAGTAGAAGGCTTGCATCCTTGGCAGCCTATCATTTTCCCCAGCTACAGCAGTAGATCTAATACATGACACCTCTTGCAAATCTTGTCTGGAAGAGTCATGAAGCAACAGCAAGTCCACTAGCTCAAAACCATGATTCAGTCATAAAAGTAGGTCTCTAGTGACTGACTGCACCTGTTGGAGCAGCAAGGAGGAGCCCAGTGCCTCACTGTGACAGCTGTTTTACCAACAATCTTAGAGCAAAGAGCAAAGGCATAGCCCAAGAAGCTGTTGTGTTTCAGGAAGCAGCTCTAGAAGCCCTTTTAAATTGCATTTAAATCATATCTGACCAGACATGGAGCTGAGCTGTATTCTTTAAGGTTTCTGAATGGCTCTGACAACAATTTCCCCTTGTCCACTATACACACAACTGTGATCTTATCCTGCTCTCACTCCCACCAGGATCTACCATGCAATTTTCATGCAAAAGCACTACATGTGAAGAGATGGCTATTACACTACCTACAGGCATAAAAAGATGCTACTAGCTTTGTCGTCCTCCTCCTTCCCAAAATTACTCAATAAAAACAGATTATGCAGACCCTCATGCTGAAAATACATTTATAACATTCCTGGAAAGGCTTTACTTGGTAATAGCAGTGTTAACTGCAGAGACAAGCAGATTCCTCGGAGCACACCACATCATGGGAAAAGTAAAGTTTTCAGCCCCACAAGGCAGCTCTCTTCCTTTTAAAGGGCACAGAGCTCCACAGTCTGCAAGGATCAGAGGCCAGCTGTGGCAGTGTCACTTCCTGCCTGCTCCCTGTGGGAAGCCAACTCACTAAGAGTGAGAACGGTGAAGGAAACCAACCCAGGGAGTCACATGAGGTCCACTCAGAATACAGTGGAGGCTTCACAGCGACAAAGCACACAGCATTATTTCCTCTTGTACTTCCAGCACACTGCGATACCTGACCACCAATTTGTGCAGTTCCAGCCTACCAGAACCCACAAACACAGCTTTGTTGATGTAAGGTACGTTGGGTGCAGCATGCAAAGTCATTTGCCATCTTTCATAGGTTGTTCTTTCCATCAGCAATAGGAAGTTAGGAGATGGGGCTGTGCTCTTCTTCCTCCTATTTTTAGCACTAATGAAACCCATCTTCTGTGCACATGGTGTAAATAGGCCATAGAAGCCTTGTATGTTACTGCTGGTCAAAGTCACTGCCTGGATATAGTATGCAATATGACAGTACTTTTTTCAGCATGAAAAAAGGTGGTTGGACACTTAGAGAAAGGGAGCACATAAGGATAAGGAATTGGCTGGATGGTCACATCTAGAGGGTAGTGGTCAACGGTTCGATGTCCACATGGAGACTGGTGACAAGTGGGGTCCTCCGTACTGGGACCGGTGCTATTTAACATCTTCATCAATGACATAGACAGTGGGATCGAGTGCACCCTCAGCAAGTTTGCAGACGACACCAAACTGAGTGGTGTGGTTGACACACCAGGAGGACAAGATGTCATCCAAAGGGATCTGGACAAGCTGGAGAGGTGGGCCTGTGTGAACCTCATGAGGTTCAACAAGGCCAAGTGCAAGGTCGTGCACCTGGGATGGGGCAACCCCCAATATCAATACAGGCTGGGGGAAGAAGGGATTGAGAGCAGCCCTGCAGAGAAGGACTTGGGGGTACTGGTGGATGAAAAGCTGGACATGAGCCAACAATGTGCGCTTGCAGCCCCAAAAGACAACTGAATCCTGAGCTGCATCAAAAGAAGCATGGCCAGCAGGTCGAGGGAGGGGATTCTGCCCCTCTACTCTGCTCTGGTGAGGCCCCACCTGGAGTACTGCGTCCAGCTCTGGAGCCCTCGGCACAAGAAGGACATGGACCTGTTGGAGCGGGTCCAGAGGAGGGCCACAAAAATGATCTCGGGGCTGGAGCACCTCTCCTACGAGGACAGGCTAAGAGAGTTGGGGTTGTTCAGCCTGGAGAAGAGAAGGCTGTGAGGAGACCTTATTGCAGCCTTTCGGTACTTGAAGAGGGCCCATAGAAAGGATGGGGACAATCTTTTTAGCAAGGCTTGTTGTGACAGGACAAGGAGTAATGGTTTTAAACTAAAGAAGAATAGATTTAGACTAGACATAAGGAAGAAATTTTTTACAGTGAGCGTGGTGAAGCACTGGAACAGGTTGCCCAGAGAGGTAGTGGAGGCCCCATCCCTAGAAACATTCCAGGTCAGGTTGGACGGGGCTCTGAGCAACCTGATCTGGTTAAAGCTGTCCCTGCTCACTGCAGGGGGGTTGGGCTAGATGACCTCTAAAGGTCCCTTCCAACCCAAAGCATTCTATGACATAATACATTTTGGGATTTTTTTTGGTTGGCCTGTAAGGTGAGGAAAGTCAGACTTTGAAATGCCATACACAGCTCTCAGCTTATACTCTAGATACCTTGGCAATATGTCTGCACAGCACACAGTGTGGTCTGGTATTTGCCCTAAACTTAGAAGCAAGTGATAAATATGCTTATCATGCAAATCTCTGGTGCACAACCACTAGGACATTACTGCTACCATCACAATTAAAGACACGCTGCACAAAGACTACACCACTAATCAGAAAAACACTGGCGTACACCACCACATCTTACCTTCCAACCACGACTGAGTCTCCAGAAGCTCTTCTGTCATGTCTTCCAGAAGACGCTCCACAGGGACACTGAGGATCGTGGAGGAGATACAGGACAAAAGACCTTGGCGCACATACCTGTTGGAGAAAGACAACTGGTTAAGAGCCTGCGGCTTAATGCTCTACCTTTATTTCCTCACCTCAGGGGTTCTTCCGTTTTCAAATGTTTGTGGTTATGATGACTCTTACCTTACTCCCACTGATTAGGAGTGTAATCACGCACCAGCTAGCAGAGTGCCCACATACAGAGCCCCTGGCATGCTGTGGTGCAGGGAGTCTAGCATAATTCAGAGTCCTGGACAAATCTGAGATCAAAACAGAAATTGGATGTTTACAGCATTTTTGGCTACATGTCTTAATTTCTTTCCAGGGTTGAATGCTGGAATTGAATCTGAATTTTTCTGAGCTCCCTAAGTAAACATAGATGAAACTATGACATGGATAGTTGATCAAGAAATTTGTCATGCTTTCTATAGGTAATGACTGTACCTCCACACTAGAAGACACTAGCCAAGTTGATATGTTGGTCTGACATTAAAGCAATGCCTTCATTACATATTCTTGCAATACTCAGTCATAAGAACACAAGGCTGGAGGAGAGCATAGAGTTAATGCATTAAGTCATTGACATTCTCAGTCAGGTGCTAGTCTTGGACAAAGACAAACCATGGCTGGAGACTGGCTCGTAGCTGATCTTTAAAAATGAAGGCATACAACTACAACTCACGAGTCAGTGTGGAAACGCAGAGTCCAAACAAACTCCAGCAGTGCCTTTCCCATTGCAGTAACTGCCTGCAAAACAGGATTATGACAGAAACACTGAATACCTTCATATTCACACCACCCTACAGAACTGGACCTTGAGATACACTGTTGTGAAGATCAGGTTTACAATTAACTTTATTTTACAGATGAGGAAACTTACACAATAAAGTGATGTGATTTGCCCAACCTCCCAGAGAAGTTGACAGTTCTTCTATCAGAAGCAGCAAAAGATAGTGCAGTGGTGTGTTGAATCCCATGTCTCTTTTCTGACCATTTTTTCCCAGCCCTTTTTGCAACCCCTCAGTACATGTGACTCAAACTTGCTGCCAGTCTAAGTGTAGCCAGCCCTAGAGCACACTGCTATTTCAGAAGGCACCTCTGAGTTCCCAGGCTGGAAGTCTCTCCTGCTCATGCAGCCTTTCTTACCATAGTGTTGATAGCCAAGTACATCAGGATTGCTAAAGTGTGGACCAGTCTTCCAAGGACAAAGTGATCTTCCCCCAGGAGATCAAATGTTGTCAAAGGCCTGCAAGTGCAAGATACACAGTCCTGTAGCAGTGAGAAGGCTGATCAGTGCATCTTTGGAACAATCATGGTGGTTATGGCAGGGCAAACTGTCTCCCACAAGCCTGAATCCCTATGACAACAGTCATTATACAGTCATTTCCAGTTTAACACAGGCTACAGCTGTTCGCTCTCATCTTTGCTCCCAGACCAGTAATATCCTCTACTCTCACAGCAGGTATCACTTACTCTACCAATAGGCTTTACTTGGAAATAACTGCATGCAAAAGCTAGCACCACTGCCATACTAGAAACAAACCATTAAGACTGGTATTATAAGAATCTTGATTCTCATGGAATCAATTACTCAGCCTTCCTTAGGTAAGCAAAGACCTAAGTGATTGACAACAAACTGTGTCCTATAACATGGTCAACAAGGACCAGTCCAGGTGACAGGCCCAAACCTGTAGTCCAAGTTCTGCAGTTTTGTGTGAACCTCCCAATGTGGAGGGTCAGCCAAGACAACTGATTTGGTACTGCCAAAATCATCCACCTGTGTACCGGCTGACAGGTTATTCTTCATAATGTATTTTCACTTCTGCAGGGTCTTACATACTCTTGCCCAACAAGACTTCATAGGATAAGTCCAAGAAACCACAAACGTCTCCTCTCTAAGCTTTATACATGAGCCAGGCATCAGTGTGGTGTCACTGGCCTCCCACACAGCTTCTGGGCTTTAGCCTGCTGCTCTGAGGCAGGCAGAACAAGCAGAAAGGTTTACTGTGGCAGCTGCTAGGCCCGCATCCCAAGGTGTTCACACTCACCTGTCAAAGTGCTGAATCAATGGAAAAAAGAAGTGCCCAGCAACAGAATTGAACTCATTTGGGCTGGAAGCCAGTTCCACTTGAGACTGACCCTGTCCAAGAGAAAAATGAAGTCTAGATGCAAGATGCAGCATCTGACTCTTCCACTTCACTGGACACTGTCAAGACTATGGGTTCCTTGCAGCCATCCCACTGTCAGCCACTGCTTGCTTGTATGCCTATGGCTACTAGTTTCCAGACTGAATGGCTCACTTCCCACTTCGGATCCTCTCACACATCTAAATATTTCAGTATAATATAGCTCAGTACTGCTGGGTTAGAAATAAGAAACAAGAACATGCAAGGGATAAAGGAGTTTTGGAAAACAAGTTCTCCAGGATGAACCACAGGGTAGTTTTGGGAACTAGGAAACTGGCATCCATTTATCTCCCTGAAAAATCGGAAGGCTGAGACAGTCCAGTCCAGAGGCAACTGAACTGATGGAGGCTCTGGGATCTGTGAGGTGCAGTCACAGCTCCCTGCAGTGGCCAGACAAGCTCAGAACAAGCATAGAACAACAACTATCCCTCAATGCAAAGCAAGAGTTCAAGGTTTATTTTCCTCTCCCTGCCAGGAGAGCACTACAGGAGTTGGTACTTTGCACCAAAAGATTCAGCCAGATACTAAGATAAATTTATATTTTAAGTTACACAGTCTTTCCTTTGGATTGGGCCCAATTTCACAGGTATTTTGCTCTTTCCAGACAGAACTACAGCAACTCCTAGCGTCCCTATTTTTGCTGGATTTGACATTATTTTGTTTCTGCCCTGGCCTTACCATAGCAAATCTCCGAGTCTTGCTTTTGATCCTCTGATCAACAATTCTTCTCCAGTCCTTAGAGCTGTCACTTCCAGGAAGGAGCTGGAGACAAGGTTTTTGGGCACCAGAATGCTTGGTATTCCCATAGAATTTGGGATAGGACAGTTCCTTAGCTGACAAAACCAATATCTAGATGAAAAAGAGGTAGGTTCTGTTAAAAAGCAGTAATCCCTGTACTAGGGAACAAAACAACAGTTACCTGCACCCACACTGATAGGAACAGCACGGCAGAAAGGCACAACAGGTTTAGCATGAAGAACAGCAAGGTAACTGACCCCCAAACAACCAATTGGCTCTGAGGTACTGACCAAGCACCTGAAACAGAACAGTGGCTCCTTCTTCAGACACAGTAAGCAAAATGATGCAGAAGGAGTCACAGGCAGATTGCTGTCTTTCAGAAAGTGAAGATATAACAGACTGATGACATGTTAGGAAACAGTGGCTTCTCCCAGGCAAATGACCATCGTATGTTTTGCATTCTGCGGGGAAGGATCGCTGTATAATTGGAGTGTAGCAGGGTTACAAACAAGAGGGAAATGCCAGGCACAAATACTAACTTAAGAGATTCCCATGCCTCTGCCTCCTCCTACAAGGAATAAAAGGTAACCCCATTACATCTCAGGGAAACAGCACTGGTGCAACAAAGACACAATGAAAGTGGAAAGTGAAAAGAAGAGCACTTACATCAAGAATGTCCATGCGCTGACGAAGACTGTAGTTCAGAGAGTAGAATTGGGAGGTCAAGTACTTCGCTACCTGTACAGAAAAATCAAAGCACAATGAACACAAACCCAGGCTGGAAACAGCCTTCCCACTAATTCTAAAAGCACTCCATTTCAGGAGAACTCCTGCTTCCTGTTAGTTAACAAGCCTCCAAGAGAAGGGAAGAGACATGCTGTGCAAATAGGGGAAATGCAGACACTTCCACTTCTAGATTCTCCCAAAGGAAGTAAATGACGAACGGGACTTTGCCATTCTTCTCTCCTTCCTATGCAAAGGTACCCAAACAACTGCCACAGCAGCTTTGGCACTTTGAACGAGACCTTAGTGTGACGTTTCAATACTTAAAGGGGGCTTATTTAGAAAGATAGAGAGAGACTTTTTACCAGGGCCTGTACTGATAGGACGAGGGGTAAAGGTATTAAACTGACAGAGAATAGATCTAAATTGGACATAAGGAAGAAATTCTTTACTATGAGAGTGGTGAGACACTGGAACAGGTTGCCCAGAGAAGCTGTGGATGCCCCATCATAGGAAATGTTCAAGGTCAGATTGGATGCAGCTTTGAGCAACCTCACAGAATCATAGAATCGTTTAGGTTGGAAAAGACCTTTAAGATCATCCAGTCCAACCATTAACCCAACACGACCAAGCCCACCACTAAACCAACTCAGGGTAGAGTAATGATTAATTTCATGTTTCCTGGCTTGGTGGCTGGATTATTTTTTAATGAAATAAAACTAGTAATCATTAAGGTTGGAAAGGACCTCTAAGATCATCAGTCCAACCATCAGCCCAACACCACCACGCCTACTAAACCACGTCCCAGAGTGCCATGTCTACATGGTTTTTGAACACCTCCAGGGATTGTGACTCCACCACCTCTCTGGGTAGTCTGTTCCAATGCTTGACTACCCTTTCCGTGAAGAAATTTTTCATAACACCCAATCTAAACCTCCCCTGACGCAACTTGAGGCCACTTCCTCTCGTCCCATCTATAGTTACCTGGGAGAAGAGACCAACACCCACCTCACTACAACCTCCTTTCAGGTAGTTGTAAAGAGCAATAAGGTCTCCCCTCAGCCTCCTCTTCTCCAGGCTAAACAATCCCAGTTCCCTCAGCCGCTCCTTGTAAGATTTGTGCTCCAGACCCTTCACCAGCTTTGTTGCCGTTCTCTGGACATGCTCCAGCAACTCAATGTCTTTACTGTATTGAGGGGCCCAAAACTGGACACAGTATT